GGTCTTGTTATTCATCGATTGCCTAGAGCAAGCCCCAGTAACATCTCCTTCATCCTAGCCCTGAGATTATATTCAAGGCTCTTTAGAAGAATGAGACCCATCATTGTTACTGGCACTTGGCATATTGGGTACACCACAGGGAGTTTGCCAGACTCTGCCGTGTGGGCAGGCTACATTTGGTAGCCTGCCAGTTTGTCCAAAGTAGGAATAAGATGTTATAATAAGATGTCCGGGAGCTGGTTTTTATAGTCTCTGAGTCTTGGCCACTGATGGGATTACACGGCGCCAGGGTGCCAGTTGGTGGGTGTGACCCCCGCCTACTGGAATTTGGAGTATCTGGGTGGAGGATGCTTGGCCCCAATCCGAGTAGGCTTGGAGATCTCAGCCCCGGAACCCACGTGGCCAGTTGTACAATGTTACCTTCTAAAATTTCCTGCTTATGCATTTGAATTTGTTTTTAAATAGTCCTGTAGGTGGCATTGTAACTTTAGGGATGGAACACTCTTTTGTCTAAATTGTTAGAGAAAAGGTCATTGCTATCTCAAGGCGATTCAATAAAATTTTAAAAAAAAGAAAAAAGAAAAAAGAAAGAAAAAATCATTAGATTAAAACAAAACAAAACAAACAAAAAACCCATATCACAATAATTCTAATGGAAAGATGAGAGAAAAGCAAGCCAGTGGCCAGTTCTATGCTGCTCTTTCTTGTTGTGAGCAACACGAGACCAGGTCCCTATCTGTGCAAAAGTCACTGTTAACTTTTTTGTATTTAAACCATTGTCTGTCATATCTAGTTCTCTAAAAAGTGAGTGTGAGCAGACTTCCTTTAGAACATCAGGACTCACCTTTTTTTGTCCCAGTGTTCATATTTTGTGCTTTTCCCCCAAGAGTAAATATACTGGCATTTTGCATTACAATATCCACTCTATTTTCCCCAAGAATGGGAGAGTTTGCCAAAAGCAAAGGTACGTTATACAACATTTCCCCAAAATGTCTTGGCCTGGAGTTCTCCACATGAAAATTAATATACGAAAATTAATCTAAGAGTTGTCATGGGAACTGGAGTTGGATATATATACCAAGGACAGTAGAAATAAAGGCAAGGAGGATTAGTCCATAGTTGGAAGCCTGCCTCAAGTACTGGGGAAGAAAACAATTGGGATACAGACCATTTGCAAATCCTGACCATTATGACAAAGATAGTTGGAAATGAACACTGCTTAAGAACTGTGTGCTATTAAAAAAAAAAGAACTGTGTGCTGAAAGTAGGTATAAAGAAACAAATACGATAACCTCTCAGTATCTGTATTGCAAACAGTATCTGTATGCCCAAAGGAAAAAAGAGAGAGTGAAGAGAGAAAGAGAGGGGGTGGAGAGGGGCAAAGAAAAATGCCTGCCATAGAACCCAATAGGCAGACTGGGAGAGGCAAGGTGGTAGGAGGGAAACAGGGGTCAATGGTGGTGGGAAATGGACACAGTTGTAGGGATGGGTGTTGGATAATTGTATGATTGAAATCCGATCTTGAACAGCTTTGTAACTGTGTATCTCAGGTTGACTCAATTAAAAAAAAAGTTTTCATGAAAAAACTTGGATTCTTGGGGGCTGGAGTGATAGCACAGCAGGTAAGGAGTTTGCCTTGCATGCGGCCAACCCAGGTTCAATTCCCAGCATTCCATATGGTACCCCAAGCACTCCCAGGGATAATTCCTGAGTGCAAATCCAGGAGTAACCCCTGTGCATTGCCGGGTGTGACCCAAAAAGAAAAAAAAGACACTTGGATTCTTGGTGCACCTTTCATATTCTTATGGTGATATTTAGGTTCTCCAGTAGCTTTACCGCACAGAGGAGCCCCACCCCTTCTTTGGGTGTTGCTTGGGATTCTGCATTTGGGTAATTCCTCAGCTTCTTCTCCATCTCCAAAGGACTCAGGATTTGCATTTCAAAGGAATGAGTTCCTTCTGCCTTTGGGCTACTCCAGGGCTGGACAGTTTCTCCATCACTTTTACACTTTCTCAAAAACTCATTACAAGACCTCCCAGTCTCAAAAACTCATTACAAGACCCCCCAGTCTATCTGCTTGCAACATAGGTGTGCTTATATTAGTGTACTTGTGTATAAAAAATATATGTGAGGTAGGGAAATAAACCCAAGTTGTCACTGTCACTGTCCTCCCGTTGTTCATACATTTGCTCAAGCGGGCCCAGTGATGTCTCCATTTGTTGTTACTGTGTTTGGCATATTGAATACGTCACGGGTACCTTGCCAGGCTTTGTCATGTGGGTGAGATACTCTCGGTAGCTTGCCAGGCTCTCTGAGAGGGGGAGAGGAATCGAACCTGTGTAAACACACAAAAAACAAAAAGGCCGGCAGTCAGGCCGTTTCCCCACTCCAGAGAGGTCGATGGTGATGGTCAGGTGAAGGAAGGAAACGAGGCCAAGCTGGTTGGTCTTAGCAGCAGTTTATTACATGGAAGAGATGTATGTCATGGAGGTCCCAGGATCTCTCAAGCACGTGCACCTTTGTTCTCTCAGCTTTTGTCCTCAACCCCATCTTCCAGGTTCTCTGATGCACATGTCCCCCAGAGAGCCCTGAAATATCCTTTATATTGATCTCAGTACCTCTAAAGGGCGCAATATAGTGAAGTCATCAAAAGGAGTTACAGAAAGAACATTGAGGGGCAAACCATACATTGTTTCTTTACATCAGCAGGCCAGTAATCCTGGCCTCACCTTTTACAAACTTGGATTAGCACAACAAAGACCAGTCAGCTAGAGTTTGGAATCTATATCTCCAAGATCAGCCTGCCTGGAGCCAGACATCTACATCCCAAAGATCAGGCCTGGTTTAGCACCTGGGATCTGCATACCTAAGACTAGCTAGGTTCCTGTGAGTTAAGGGAAACTGCCTCAATATACTGAAATTATTTACTGAAGGCAGTTTGAAGGGGAGAAAGTTCAGTCTCATCCAAGCTAGTCAGGACACACGGGAAAGCAGTTTCTAGGGCAGATTCTCATTTAGCAGATCAACTCACCCTAGAACAGAATTCCCTGGGTGTGTTTCTCCTCTCCTTGTCCGACCAACATATAAGCATACATAATATAAATCATTTTGTATGGACACAATAAGAAATACTTTAAGCTTATAGAATTGATCTCATAGGGCCATCTTGATCTCAGACTGCAGTGCTCAGGCCAGATAGCTTTCCTATTCTTAGCAGCAGGGTCCTAGTCTCGTCATTACTTTTGGATCATGACAGCATTTGCCTATGATCAAACTCTTAACGTATAGTTAAGATCGTGGCACCTTGGCCTGGCCCATCGTGATGCGAGGGTAGCACATAACTTACCGGCTTGCCCTGGTTCCATCCAGTCCCACGTCGGGACCCTGCCCTTGGGGTGGTAGGAAGTGAGGGCAACTGAGGCTTAAGTTGAGAAAGCAGATGCCCAGGAGTGAACAATATTCAAAGCCAGTCAACTCCTAAGTTACAAAGCATAATATTAATTAATTGTCTTCCTGTATCTATACAAAAAGACATTGCATTAAGGCAAACTATTCAAAAGACATAAGGAGAGGAGAAAGGCAATATTAACTTACAGTACAGCTTCAGTGTCTAAGAAGGATGAGACCTTACAAATTGGTTGGGGAAGAGAGCACAAAGAAGTAGTTACAGACAAAGTAATGGGAGTGACTCGGGAGCACTGTGATGGGTGCAACCTGATAAACAAGCTTCTTGTACTCCAACAGAACCCTGCTCAGCCGGGCCAGCTGTGCGCAAGGCAAATGCCCTACCACTGTGCTAGTTAGTTTTAATAAATGCTTACAATTTAACATTTTTTGAAGTAACTATTAAAAGATTTCCTGTTTTGTTTTGGGGCCACACCAGGTAGTTCTGGCAGTATGATGGAGGTGGGTGGGCTTCCTGAAAGAAAAGTATCCTACCCATTTTATCTCTCCAACCCCAAAGTCCTGTAAGTCTGGAAACTCAGAACTTTAGAAAGCTTTATCATTTTCATACACATTCATCAGTTCTTTGAACTGGTCAAGTGAGATTGGTGGTGAATATTATGGCACTGTAAAAATTCATTACAACCGAAAATTTGATGCTCAAATTTTTGAGATAATGAGGACAGTGATTCTGACTAATTATAAGTACAAAGAACTTTTATTAGTTGCTAAGTATCAAGACTTTTTAATAGTCTACTAATTTCAATAGTTGGTATACTTATTAATAGTGCAAATAAAAATGAACTTGTAGTGGGAAATGGGCACTGGTGGAGGGGTGGGTATGTGATCATTGTATAATTGAAACCCAAGCACAAAATTTGTAAGTCTACAACTGTACCTCATGGTGTCTCACTAATAAAAATTAAAAAAAAATAAAATAAAAAAATGAGCTTGTAAGGAGATGAAATATCATTTAATTTTTAGGTTTAAAGGTAAATTGTGATACATTTCTTTTGTTTTACTTCCACTCCATTGTTTTTTATTATTATTTTATTTATATATTTATTGCTTTTTGGGCCACACCCAGCGATGCTCAGGGCTTACACCTGGCTCTGCACTCAGAAATTACTCCTGGTGGTGCAGTAATGAGGTGAGACTCAGGCTAAAATATAGTAAGCTAAATATAAACAATCAGAGAGTAGCCCAGGGGCCACCAGAACCACACCCAGAAATGTTTTGGGGGTATGCAGTATGGGGAATCAAGCCTTGGTCCTTGCACATGCAAAGAATGCACTGCCCCAAACTGAGCTACCATGCTGGACCTATAGGTTTCTTTTTCATGAAGATTTTTCTGATAGTTAAGATTCCATTCATCAGTTTCATTATCTTTGGGGGGGAGTTTAATTATTAAATTATTTATTCATTCATGAAACAAGAATCCTGGTACTAGTTTAAAAAGCCACCACATACTTTTCATTCTACTTCCTTTTAAAAGAAGTATATAATATAACAAATAGACATGAAAGAAAATCACAAAAGCAAGCACTTTAGGCAAATTAAGTTTTTTTTATATTCACCTTGAGAACCTTATATAAACTCTGCCTAAGTTCTTTGTTCTTGAGAGCATACACTATTGGATTAAGGGCAGGAGGAATGACACTGTGGAGTACATTGACTAGAACTGGGATAAGAGGAACTGTCTTTGATGCACTATGGGTGATAGAAAGGACAACAACAACAGAGTAGAAGAAAAGGATTAGGATGAGGTGGGAAGAGCAGGTACTTAAGGCCTTTGATGCTGCTTCTGCTGAATTTAGCTTCAGCACAGAGTGAAGTATCAAAGCATATGATAAAATAATCAACCCTAGATCGCCTCCCGTGATTGTCCAGGCCAGAGCTAGCTCATAGATGTTGTTGATTTTTCTGTCATCACAGGATAGACGAGTAACTGCAGGATTAGAGCATAGAAAGTGCTGAACTTGGTTCTGGGAGCAGTAGTGTCTTTGAGCAGCCAACACAGGCACGGCCATGGTAGAAAGACTATTTCTGAGTGTCATGAAGACAGTAGCTTTGATAACAAATGATTCTGTTATGATAGATGAGTAGCGAAGAGGATGACAAATGGCCACATATCTGTCTATACCCATGCAGACAAAGATCCCTGATTCCATGGCCAAAAAACAATGTATAGCATACATCTGAGCAAAGCACTCAGGGAGACTGATAGCCATAGCTCTGAACCACAAAATAGATAAAATCTTGGGTATAATGGTGGTGGTCAGGCCCATGTCTACCACAGCCAGGACAACCAGGAAATAGTACATAGGCTGATGCAACGTTGCCTCTTGTTTGATGATGATCAGGATAAGGATGTTGGCACTTATTGCTAAGAGGTAGAAAAAAGCCAGGGGCAGGGAAAGCCAGTGTTGCCAGCTGTGAATGCCTGGGAATCCCATCAAAATGAACTCAGAGACCTGGTTCTTAGAGTTGTTGGAATCACGGAGGTATTGGAACATCCTTCACTAAGAAGAAAAATAGTCAAGGTTAGTATTCTTAATAATCCCTATGACAATACTTTTTAATTAAATAGGTCCATGACTTAAGAGAGAGGAAACCTTTATCTTTTGTCTCATCCCTTCATGAACAGTCACTTGACATTTTTAGTGAAGCACTAATGTGGTAGTCTTCTCTTCATGTAAATTACAAAAGCTTCTTAAGGTAGGTCAAGTGATACTTTTTCTGCCTTTCTCATTTCTATATACATATACATATGTGTATATATATCAGAAGCAAAAATAAGGGCATTGACCATTATTATGAATACTATAAGTCATCTTATAAGAGGAAAGCTGTCAGATATCAGTCATCATAGTCCTGTGGTTTTGCTAAAGGGATGGCTAGTAGACTTCTTATTATACAGTTAATTAAAGAACTTATTTGGATGGAGAAGGATTTATCCACACCTGGTAGTGTGCTTGGTGGCTACTCCCAGCTCTGTGCTAGTGGATCAATCTCTGCAGAGAAGAAGTCATGCAGTGCCAGGGGTCTAACCAGGGTCACAGCATGCAATGCACATGGCTTAGCCCCTGTACTGTCTCTCCGGCTTCCCATTAAAAAAAAACAGAGAATAGGAGTCAAACCCAGTGGTTCTCTAGAGGCCCAGTATCCACTCCCAGTGGTATAGGCCTAGTTGTTGGGTACTTGGATAGATAATGTGTGTGGCTCAGGCCCAGCAGTGCTAGAGGTCTTCAGTGTTACTCCTGGAGCTTCTCAGTAATTTGGGGGTTTTCAGGGGCTGAATTTAGCACCTTGCATGTACAAATGTTGTTTCTGCCCTTGGAACTATCTAACTAGGGAAGAATTAAAGGTTTCAACACAAGGAAACATTTAGGTTGTTTGTTTCTTATATACTATACTTTATAGTATATAAGAAACAAACCTAAAAAGCTAAAATCTAGTACATGAGAATTAGTAAAATACTCATGAATATTCCTTCGTTTTAATATCACAATTAAGTTACTAATGTCCTTTTGTTGTTTTTTTTTTTTGTTCGAGATGGCCACACCCAGCAATGTTCCTGGCTCTATGTTCAGAAATTACTCCTGGTGGTGCTGGGACACCATGCAAATTGCCTGGGATTTAAGGTGGTTCAGCTGCTTGAAAGTGCCTTCCTGCTTTATTATTAGCCCAGTATTGTCCTTTTTGGGGCACAAAAATGCTGTGAAAGTTTTCTAATAAACTGTATATTGTCAAGTAACTGAAACAGAATATAAAAGAGAGAAATATTTTCTCTATTTGGAAATAATTTTGATTAGCATTGTTGTGTATCTAGTCATATTATAATTAATAAAGATGTTTTACCAAGGGAATTTGATATGCTTTGAAGATCAGTTTCTTAAAATCAAAGGCTGTATAATAAATCTTCTTGAATTAAACATTTATCTATTTTTATATAAAAATTTAAAAAACTCTTTTTCCAGGTGTGTGCTCTTTATTTGTTTTCTTTCAATATATTGAACCAGTAAATATAATAAGACACAATATAGAAATGTGTCAATCAAAATTATAATCTACAAGAGTATAAATGTGAGTATAAAGTTTATTTGCAAGATCCATTGAAACTAATTCAAAAAGTTACATTTCATTACTTTTAACATAATGAAGAAAGATAAATGAAAGAAAATTATAGTTAAACTATTTTTTTGCTAACACTTTTATTAATACAAAATAATTTTGAATTATTTACTTGTATAACTCACTTTGTTTCTCTTAACATTGATTTAGAACTGTTTCTCAAAGATCTTGCATCTTGATTATTAATATTAATAAAAAGTTTTATATATTATATATGTATATGTCTTATCCGACCAATTTGTATGAGTTTTTAAAATATTCCTTTAGTGATATCTTCTGTTTTATTTTTGAAATTTTAGTTATGGGCTGGAGTGATAGTACAGTGGGTAGGGCATTTGACTTGCATGAGACCGACCCAGCCGACCTAGGTTCGATTCCTCCTCCCCTCTCGGAGAGCTTGGCAAGCTACTGGGGTATCTTCACCCACACGGCAAAGCCTGGCAAGTTACCCGTGTCATATTTGATATGCCAAACACAGTAACAAGTGTCACAATGGAGACTTGAGCAAATTGATGAACAATGAGAGGACAGTGACAGTGATAGTTATCAGTTTGGCCAACGACTTTAATTTGCACAGAAAATAATCTACTAATCTACCTGTTAAAGAAGGGCTGATATTCTACCCTAGAAAAAGTAGAAGGAAATTATAAATCTCACTTATAAATATGAATATTGAATTCAAACCTTTCATTATTTATATTTCATGTGTAGGCCTTCATTCCCATTTTTATCTTTATGAGTAGTACATGCTAATGTCTTTTTTAAGACTTAGCTTACATGACATAAGAAAACAACATTATCTAAAGCATTGAATTCATACCATGTCAAAGCATAAACACTCAATTCTTTACCAATATCTCTATTTAACCTCTTATAATAATAATAATAATAATAATCAGTAAAATATTAGGTACTGAATATGCAACTTTCTTTTAAATAACTGGTACACATAAAGCATACTAATTAATAAGAAGTGCTTTTAAAGATATCTCCGATATTATCATAAGCTCTTAGAGTTATGCAGAAGCCAAAAGATAAAAACCCATTTAGAGTTTATTCAGAAAACATCAAAGAGGAAAGTATATGTTTTTAAACCAAAATATGATTACAGGATTGTTACATTAGTATTCTATTCTGTTCTTCCTTGTTATTTTATATTCACATCACATGAATTATTTTACATTTGTGATTTTGAAATCTTCTATTCTATTTTATATCATCTCAACATCAAAGCTATCTTTAATCTTCTCATCCATGAAAAATATTTAACTCTGAAATAAAAAAAAGAAAACCTTCCAGAATTGGAGAGACCATAGAAAAGTCACAGAAAAGTTAAGGTGCAGGTTTTGCAGGCACCCTGCATAGGTTCAATCCACGATACTGCACATAGTCCTCTGATCACCACCAAAAATGGTCCCAGACATAAACCCAGAAGTAAGTCCAGAGCACTGCTGGGTGTGTTCCAACAGCCCACTTAAAGAGTCTACCTTAAATCCTTCTAGTTTGATAAATTAGAGAATTGGCAGTCTTTGTATTAGTAAAAGCAGCTGTAGATAAAATAAATGTTAATAATATTCATAATTTAATAATGGTGCAAAAATATTAAAAACAAAAACAGTTTGATTTTTATTAAAACCAAATTATATTTTGAATCAATGACATTTTATTCCAAATCTTAATGAGTGGACATATTGTATTTATATTTGTATTTAGTTCCTACCAACATAGCATGAGCATATTAGTTAACAAATGTTTCTGAATAAACAACTGGTAATGGATAAAAAAATAAATTTTTATAATATAATTTAAGAATTATTATAAATGAGCTAAATATTATTTTTACAGTCAGAAAATGAATCATCAAAAACATTAATAATGTTTAATTAATAATCAAGAGAAAACATAGATTTCTATAAAAAATTCATTATATATAACAAATATTCTGGCTTGAAAACAAAGCTGAGTTGACTATAGAGCAGTTAGTTTGTAAACATAGCTACATATGAAAAAGCAAAGAAAGCAATCTCAGAGTATATGCAACTATGGTTTTAGAAGCAGAATCATATTAAAATACTAAACTTATACTCCAAAACTAGAATGATTAATGTCAGAAAAAAATAGTTAAAACAAATAAGTATTAATTAAACATTACCTTTGAAAATTATGTTTGAAACCTCAATTAATGATTAACTAAATTATTTCATCTTCATATTTTGTATGGTTTCTTCAAAGACAACGGTAGAAAACTCTGAAATTAATTTTTACTTTATTAGTACACAGTAAACTTTTTTTCATTTTTTCAATGTCAAAAGCTTATTTTAACTTACACAATTATAGGTTTACAATACTGGTTAAGTTCATAGTATTTTTGCAAAAAGTTACCACATACCACCTCCACAAATTTTCCATGACTCCCTACCACTGTCCTGTGGGAATAAGGATATGGTTAAGGATATGTTTGTCCTCTAATTAAACCTTCTTTTATTCCCACCATCCCTCATTTATTTGTCTATGAAGAGTAATAGTTTGGGTTCATACTCTTACCTCCCATAGGTAAGAGTGTTCCAGACTCTACCTATTTTTCTGAGTTATTTCCATTATTTTTTCAGTTTCTAAACAAATTACACTTACAGACTGATACTCAGTTTCCTTTTAAGCATGAGTGGTATCTAATCAAGGAAATGATTGTGATGCTAGCAAAAATCTGTAATTTGCACTATAGGTCACGAATAACATGAGTTTTCAATAGAATGTAATATCTCTATATACTCAAATTGCTAAATAAAATATTTCTAAACAGCTTTTCAATTTTTGCTTAGAGTTTTCTTCATATACTGTATTTTTACATCAAAATTATCATTATAAGCAATAAATTTACATAAGAATAAATTTATTAGGGCTGGAGAGATAGTACAGTGGGCAGTGTGCTTGCCTTGTATTTGGTAGATTGGGGCTTGATCGCTGGAATCCCATATGGTCCTGGAGCTCCACAAGAAGTGATTCCTGAAGTGCCGATCCAAGAGTAAGCCCTGAAGCACTATAAGATCTGATCCAAACACCAAAAGAAAATGAGAAAATAATAATGAAAATATCCACAGATATTTGTACACACATATATGTTTGATTAGTAAGTAAGATAAGTTTTGAGATACATAATTCATATTTCACAAGTGTGTACAAATTGTTAAACTTGTTAAAAACAAGGATTAATGAGGCCAGAGCTATATTACAATGGGTAGGGCACTTGCCTTGATGGGTTCAACCTGAATTTCATCTTCAACATCCTGTATGGTCCCCTGAGCACCTTGAGGAACAATCCCTGAGTGTGGAGCCAGGAGCAAGTCCTGAACACCACTGGGTATGGCTCCCAAATCCTCCCCCC